CACAAAACCCACACCACAGAAAACTCTCCATGACCCCCTTTTTATCACCTTCAAATTTGACTCTATTTGGAAACTATAAAAATTTATTATTTTAATATTTAAAGACTGTGGTACTGTAGTAAGACACATAAATATTATAATATGCATTTAGAAATATTAAATATAATAAAGTCAACACATTAAATGAAAACTCATAGTACACCACATAAATCTCAGGTCTGGGCATTCATGCCCATAAGATTTCCCCTCAAAGTGGGGGAACCTTCCTGGGAAACTCAGTCCCAATGCCGGGGAGGCAGTGCACGTGGGTCAGGGTTGGATTCCCCTTGTGGGTGAAGATAACCGCTGCACCGTGAGTGTCACAGGTACCGCAGATAATAAATTCTTCAGCAAATAAATTCAGAAGGGGAAAGCAGTGGACAGGAAATCTGTCCATTGCAGGAAACTTGAAAGTATTAGTCAAACTAAGCCACGGTGTTGCAGGAGGAGTGAACAGGTAGCAATGTGATGGAGAAAGGGAGGTGGTCATCATCATTAGAGGTGGGATGGGGTAGCTGATGGGGGCGGAGCAGCTCCGTGGTGAGACTGGACAGGGACGGGAGCTTCCTGGAGGGCTGACTGAGTTCTATTTCTTGATTAGGGTACAGGTTATGAGTGTTTACTTTTTAATAGTTGATTCAACTAGACACCTGTTTTCTGTATTTGTTTTATTTTTTTTAATCACATAAAGACTTATTGTTTGTTTTTTTAGTAAAAGCCCCTGACTCTTTCTCTACCCCTCCTCCCACCTAGTTGGAGCCCTTTTTGAACATTAGCTGCCCATTTCTGGCTTCTGAATTCTGCCTGGTTCTCTCTCCTCCTTTTCCTAGATTCTCTCCTAATTCTGTATTGTGTCCATCAGAATGGGCTACAGTGCTGCAGAAACAGACAACCCTAAGACCTCCATAGCTTAAAAGGAAGGTTTACTTCTGGCTTATGCTTCATGTCTATGACATCTTAGCAGAAGCCTCTGCTTATCTTAGTTGCCCAGGGACCCAGGCTCACAGGGCAGCCACCTTCTCAGATTTACTCAGGGGCTATGCTCCCCAGTACTCACTGACAGTCAAATGCTTTGCCACGGAAGTAGCATCTGTAACTTCTGCTCACACTTCATTGGCCAGAAGTAATCACGTGCAACCACCCGACCACAAAGTGGGTGAAGTGCCAGGCTGTAAATGTGCTCAGAAATATTCGGTAAACAACACGCATAAAACAGCCCTTGTTTTGTATGGTTCCAATATGCACAATTTTCAATTACCCTGATTTAGTTAAATAATACCAATCCCCAACAAAATGGTTCAAATTTCAGTCACCACACTATGGGACTGTAAGTGCATAAAGTACAAATTTCACTGTCTGCTATTCAGACCGCGGATCACTACATAACAACAGAGGCATACCTCGACGCGAGCAACTGCATCACTCCTTCCTGCGTCTCTCCGCCATTGGTCTCCGAGCGGCTGGTACCTGGCTCCCACGCAGACAGCAAAGCATGGGCTCTGTTGCCTCCCCTCTCCCAGTGATAAGCCTATGTGGCATTTTACAAAAATGAATAATCTAAAGAGGGTTAGCTAACAAAAATTAAACTACAACAAGGACAAAAATATTTAATAATGCTGGAAGAGACACTGGGTACGATAAGATTTGAAAATGGCAGTAGCAAAGCAAAAACAGGACAGGGTGTGGGGCTGCTGGAAGCGGTGGGGCTAATCATATTGGAAAAATCCAATAAAAAGGTATGAAAAAGAAGGTAAAATCACTTCATCTTTTAGTTTAAATTGCACTAGACACAGAAAGCCACTTACGGTTGAAGTGGAGTGTTTTCCTCTACTTTGGACAGAAGATTGTAATATTGTAAAATCCTGAGTAGTCTGGCTAGCATGCAGGGCAAAGCATTGATGTTGGTTGCCTCAATGAAAAAAAGGGTAATTACGAGGAGGCCGAAGAAGAACCTTTTACTGCCAATAGGGGCTGGTTTCATCATTTCACAATTCAGCATAAGTTGATTGACATTAAGCTCCAGGTGACTCTCAGGCACAGATAAGAGTGTTGCTAAGAAGTTTACACCCATATTCCAAGAAAATGAAAATGTCCCAAGAGAAGTGACACCAGCAAAAATCTTTACCTTAAAAGGATGCTCGTAGCTATTTCCGGGCATTGCAAGAGCAAAGAACAAAATGTTGCAGGCCGATCCAATGCACCAAGGTACAGGAAGGATGCTTGCCCTGAATCCGAAACTACACAATGACAGGGAGAAGGCCAGACCTGTTCAAATTCCTCAAGTTTTTAACACTTTAATTCTCAATGTTTCTAATGTTTTAAATTACAGTGTAATAAGTAAATATTGGTTTTCCTAATTTTTCATTTTCTAATGCATTTATAACTGACAGTAGGAGAGTTTTAAATGTTTTGGCAAACATTTGCAAAGGTCACAGACCAACTGTGATTTTTTCCCACTGATTAGCATCATCACCTGGCAGAGTTCCACCTTACACAGCGTGTCTGTGGTCCTGTGCTGTTGTGCAAGGTGAGGGCTGCCAGTATGCATATCTGGTTTGGGTAAAGTTAGATTACAGTTCCTCCGCATCCATTCATGCTAACTCGATTATGTGGAGTGCAAGGAAACTTCTGGAGATAGAACTTGAACCATGAGGATTAGGTAGGTATAGGGGCTCCAGGTATAGTTTGGCGACCATTATTCAACCTCAATTTGACCCAGCCATCTTGATGGCCAATGTGTGACCTAGGGTGGGAAAGAGCCCTGTGGGTCATATGCCACCATCTAGGTCCTGTCCTGCACCCATCTAGGGTCCATGCCATCCTGCTGTGGGCTCCAGCTAAAAAGTGTGTACTAGACAAAGGGGGCATGTTTCCTTACTCATTTTATGGAAGGGCAGATATATCAAGCTACAACCAAAATAGAGACTCAAACTCTGGCCAGGCTGAGGATTCAGGGACTCCTCAGGCCATTCAGGCCCCGAAGCAATGATGGAACACGCAGAGGCTGTGTGATGCTCAAGAGCAGCGTGTCTGTGTGGCTCCTGGGGAGCGTGGAGGGGCTGTCAGCACCGGGGTGTGAGCCGCAGCCTGAGAAAAGGGTTGAGAGCAGCGGCTGAGCCACCGCAGTTTGCTCCGTTGAGAGCATGTGAGCTCCAGAGTCCTCAGATCTCTGGGGGTGTGGTGGGGGGAGAAGTAGGGCAGATGAGTGGAAAGAGGTCTGTGAGGGGGCCGAGGTTTCAAAGTGGCACTTAAGGGGAGCTCTAAGGGTGGGGGTAATTCAGACTATGTAAACATGAGCTCAGTTTCCCACATTGGCAATGAGACCTGGGGGAATGGAGTTGTTTACAAATAGCGTGGCTATATGATTTATTGTTCAGAGTGGGAATATTGTTAAAGCAAAAGGGATTGCTATTAATTACTAAACCTCTTCATAATTAAAGACACAAATTATCTCAGACAAACCACACCATATACTCACTTTAGTTACAGATGAAACCCAGGTAACTGTAAATTAGAGGTCATATCAGAATTAATGAAAATAAATGAATTTGCCCTAACCAAGCTGCAGGCTGGGTTCCCAGGAAGTGGACATTGCAATGGAGAGTAGTGTAGGGATGTTTAGTAGAGGGTGCTCCCAGGGTCAACACCTGTGGAAGGGAGGGAGGAAAAGTGGGATTGGGAACTGGGATACCTGGACTGCAAAGCATCCAAGACCTCAGCTGACCTTGAGGGGAGCCCTGGGGCTGGGGTGACTTTCAGAGTTATTGCAAGTTGGGTTGAGGAGGACTCTCTCTTCTCCACACCAATGAGTCCTCAGCCATGGCTGTCCCTGAGGGCTCCCTCCAGCTGAGGGCTGATTTCTGGAGAGGCTGACAGCCACCAGTACTCCCGCAGTCCTGGAGAGGGGTCAGAGTGGCCTATCACAGCATGCCCTGCCCAGAAGGGAGAGGAGAGTTTGAGTAAATGTATCATAAAGATAAATGCTTTAAGTTCAATCATTAGTCAGGTCCTGTCAGGGAGAGTTCCTGTAGCATCTGCTTTGAAGAAGAGTTGAGACACAATGTGATTAGCATACTGATTGCTTATCTGCCAATGATATTTCCAGAAAGGGGAACTTATTTTATCAAATTAATAAAATGGCACCGATCTTCTTGGTATTGCTCAGAAAACTTTTTCTCGAAGGTATATTTCTACCCAGCTTCATTTGGTAATGTTTGTACTTAAGATACTTACATAGGGCTTCCTGTGTTCCAGGCACAGTGCGATGCACTACTGAAATACTAGCCCATTTAATTCTTGTAATGAACTTATGACCTGGGCAACAGACAAGGAAACAGAGTCCCTGAGATGAAGTAATCAAACTCAAGTGGTGGCGCCAGGACTTGGACCTCAGTATCATGTCTCCAGAGGCTGTGTGTATAATCAGTGTGCTATGTTATTGGTTGCCACGTGCAGTCTTTGAAGAAACTAAAACTCTTTTCTCTGGGGAGTTGCAAAGAAGTAAAATGACAATAACTACAACAGCAGCTGCAATATCTAACATGCAGTGAGCTTTAACTACGTACCAGTCACTGTCCTCTAATCCTGGAGAAGACTTGGTGCCTGCTCAGAAGCAGATGCTGATTAATTGGGAAGCGAGACAGGAAATAGTTACATAATCACCTGTAAAACGTGAATGATTAGGGGCTCTGATGTGTGTACGTCCAGGACAGGCTGTCACAGGTGAAGTGGTCAGAGAGGAACAGGCTGAGTTCAGACCTAGGGGACTTAAACCCTGGAAAGATTACAGGATGCACCCCCCCCCCACTCCTGCAGGTAATTTACATATAAAAAATAAGCAATATGTTAACTAAAAAAGTAAAGAATAATAAGAAAAATGCATATTATGATTTATAAAGGACTTCTCAAAGAAATTTGCTGGTAACAAATTCTTTCCAAACGACGCTTTTAGTTGCCTTGCTGGTGCCAAATTCGGCCTGCAGTTTGGGTGATCCTGTTCTGGGGAAAGAAGGGCTGCCGTGGATCGTGGAGGCAGCAAGCCTTGTAGATCTTCAAAGACAGGTAGGACTAAGGAGGGGGACAGAAGAGGAAAGGATGAGCCGGGAGGGAAGACCAGTGAGCACACGGGCCTCGCTGGAGCACATGGTGTGTGCAGGGGAGCAACTAGGTTGGGCAGTTCAATTGCAGCCACATTTTTAAAGACCTTGAGTTCCTGGTCAAAGGGTGTGTATTGTATCCCATAAGCAATGAGACTCGATGGGAGGTGGGTGCAATTTTGGTGCTGTCATTGTCTTTCCTCCCCCAAATCCAAGTACCAGGCAGCCAAGCTACTCGAAGCCCTTTTGAGCAGAAGCCCCAAATAGCCAGCAACCCGGATGCCTGGTCACCCAGGCATGCCACCCAGGTTGCCCAGGCTGTGGTTTTGACTCTCTGCAGCTGCTCTAAACAACCAGGGCCTTCCTCATTGCCCAGCTGCCCTTCCAAAGGGACCTGGCCAGCCCAAGGTGCCAAGTAGCTGCCCCAGGTTGGGAGCTGATAGAAGGCCCTAGGCCTCCCTCTGCTCCACTACTCAGCGGTTCTCTGCTCTTGCAAAGAGCGGCCCATTTGGTATGAGTGCTCCAGCCATTTTGGTTTCATCTTTCCCTCCTTCTGCCAAACTGTTAAAACATTTTATTCTACAAAAACATCACAAACAAATCCAATCTTGCAACTGCTCTGACCTGAAGCCTGATCGAGGCAGAAGAATGGCAAGAATGCGCTGGATGGAGTTACCGTGGCACATTTGAAGAAGGGGTTGGCGGGAGGGTCAGATAGTGGAGGAAGACCTGGATTTTTAGAGCCCCAAACAGCACTGTCCTGGCAGTGGCCCTTCTTCTCCCAGGACCAGTGGATGATCACCGCAGTTCAGGAAGGGGCCTCGCGTGATTTTCCACTCTGTCAAGGAGTGTCAGCGGCTGTCCTGAACTGCTGCCCCATTGAGAATTTCCAGATTATTGGTGGTTGCGTCCTTTTCCTGAAAAACAATAGAAACATCACTTTTCCACCTTCATTTTATGCATTCAGGTCAAAGCCTCTGGTTCCACTCTGGCGGAATGAAACACCCCAGCCTGGCTGAATTCAGGATGGACACATTGGTGGAACTTTTGGCCGTGTGCTGGTAAGAGGAGCATGTGGCTGGAGCGGCTCTGAAAACTCTGACACTTGCGGGGGTGTTTGTGTGTGCATTTGTCCAAACTGCAAGTTTTCCTCCTCCCTAGCCTTGGTTTACACTCTCTGGATTCACTTTATGTTCCTATTCCGCAGGCCTGGCCCAGCCCTCCCCATGAAGGCCCACTTCCACGGGCCCACCAGGCCACAGTGGTCTGTCCCTGCTCACACAGGTCCAGCATGATCCGAATTCAGCTCATGCTCCTTCTGCTTAGCTGTGAGCTTTCTTTCCTTAAGAAGGTGGAGCCCCAGCTGGTGTAGCTCATTGGATTGAGCACAGGTCTGTGACCCAAAGGGTCGCCAGTGTGATTCCCAGTTGAGGCACATGCCTGGGTTGTGGGCCAGGTGCCCCTGTAGGGGGGGGCATGTGAGAAGCAACCACATACTCATGTTTCTCTCCCTCTCTTTCTCCCTCCCTTCCCCTCTCTCTAAAAATAAATAAATAAAATATCTTTTAAAAAGAAGATGGAAAGCCTGCTGAAGGCCAAGACGAAGTTTTCTCAGTACTGGGCTGAGGATAAAGGCCCTTCCCAAGGATGCTGATCTATTACAAATACCAAGATAGAAAACTTATATTAACTGATTCTCCCCAGAGGAAGAATGAAGGACACCCAGCACTCACTTTGATCTGTCTCATGGGAAAGCCAAAGAAAGTGTGTCTGGGAAAGACCTTGGTGGGCATTCAACAGATACCTGCTACATGTTCTTTCTAAGGGGACTGCAAGTTTGAATAGGGCCAAACTAGTCAGGAAGCCAGGAGGGAAATTGCCTCCACCTTCAGCAAGCAGAGCAGACATGGCCTCTACATACGTGTCCAAATGTGTTTGAGGGACACCACGCCATGAGCCTGACTGGGCTCTCACAGGTCTCCGTCTGCCCTGGTAGCTGTACTACAAACACAGCATGTTCTTGGTTCATCTTTTTAAAAATAAAGGAATGAATGAAGGGAATGGCAACAAACTGGTCGAGCTTTTTCTCCCAGCTGGACAATGATCATAAGGTGTTGTTTGTGGTAAACTCTCTCTTGATTGAAAGGGAAGAGAAGTTGCTTCTGGAGTTCAAGTTCTCTAGACTGGCCAGCCATAGGGGGCTCCATGGACAGCGTCCATATGGCCTAGAAGCTTGTTAGACATGCAGAGTCTCGGCCCCCACTTCTGACCTACTGAATTCAAACTTGCATTATAAAGAGGTTCGTATGCAGTGCTCTATAGAACATAGAGAAAATAATGCAATGATCTCAGTTTGGGGTTTGGAACTAGAAATAAATCTCTAGTGTGAATAATGGCATCTACAAACCATCTCTCAAGCATGGGCCTTTATGGAAATCTACTATGTGTCTAGTCCAGGAAAGAAAGAGGCAAGGGCAGGTCCAACAGTAAGGCTGGGATTTCAACCCGAAACACTGCCCACCCCTTCCTGCACAAGCCCACACTGAGCGGTGGGCTCAAGCCAACTGAATTCTCTGCAGCATAGCCGCTGGGGTGACACCCGTCACACGGACAGCCCTTGTTTTCAGCAATAACAAGTCATTAAGATTGAGCTAGCAAATCTTCAGGGAAGACAGCCCAGGCCTAACCTCCGTCATAACATTTTTCTTTTGCGATGAAGCATTGCGGGGTTTGTTGAAAGCTCGTTCCGTGATGCTAGAGCTCAAGCACTCACGCCTTCCCAGGTCCAGGGCAGGGAACCAGGGTGTTGTGGAGCTGCAAGCCCATTATCCCAGAGGCACGGTTATGCTATCAAAATCTACGCCCCCTGCATTGTGTCTTGCAAAAGGAATTGTTTTGGAATCGTACTAGGCATAAAACTGTAGATGCTGGAGTCGGACTACCTGAGCTCATTTCCAGGCTCTGCCATTTGCCAGCTACGTGACCTGGTGCAAGCCTCAATTTTCTAGCTCTTAAAAAAGTGATACTTTATTTCCTGAATAATTTGGAGGAAATCCAACTTATCTTTTTTTTTTTTTTTGCTTTTATGGATGGTGTGTTTGATATTCTAAGAGAACTTGCAAAGTTCTCTTAGAATCATAAGAATTTTCTCCTGTTTCCTTCTAGCTGTTGTATAATTAAAGCTTTTAGATTTAGGTTATTATTTCTTTTCTGTTGTTCACTCCATATAGTGCTTAATTCTTCTGCTTCCCCCTTCCTGTTAGGTTGATTAAATATACTGAGGTCTGTCCAGAAAAAGTCCAGCCGTTGTTAATATAATGAGAGTGGTTTGTGTGACATTGATATAACCTGGCACCAATGTAAGGAGAAGGGACTGGAATGCACATGTGTGAACAATGACAACTCACTGTACTGGTCAGTGAGGGCAGTAGGTGCCATTGAGTGAGCATATGTACTTTGTGGCTTTGGTATTCAAAATGCCTGAGTGAGCAGAGCAACAAATATGCATTAAATTTTGCGTTAAGCTTGAACATTCCTCCACAGAAACCCTTTGGATGATTTAGAAGGCCGTAGCTGTGGGCAACTGGTGATGGGCAGCTTCATGATGACAGGGCATCACATCTTGTGCAGAGATTTTTTGGTGAAACATCAAGTCACCCAGGTGACTCAGCCCTCCTGCAGCCCAGATTTGGCACCCCGTGATTTCTGGATTTTCCCAAAATTAAAGTCACCTTTGAAAGAGAAGAGATTTTTGACTGTTGATGATTCAGGGGCAGCTGATGGCAATTAGGTGAACTGTGTGAGGTCCCAAGATGCCTACTTTGAAGGGGACTGAGGTGTCATTGTCCTATGTACAGTGTTTCTTGTGTCTTACATTGTCTTTGATTATTACATGGTTGGATATGTTCTGGACAGACCTTATATTTTATAATATTATTTTAACTTAATTTTAGATTTTTAGCTATACCACTTTACATTATTTCTTTAATGGTTGGTCTAGGGATTACCAAAAAAAAGCATCCTTAGATTTTTCTTTAGAAGAAAGAAAAATCTCCTCTCCTTTAGGAGACTGGCTTCCAGTGCAGCTTGCTTGCTATTCAAACTAGAAGCCTCAGCTCAGATTTTAAAGTACAATGAAAGTCCATAGTGCAAAGATTTATTAATATTAACCATGTAATACTGTGACTGCATACATAATGTAATTAAAAACCTGTCCTTAATTTGACAACTTTCTTAAAAAGAAACAAACAACTTGCTCTTTTGTGATGTGTTCATAGCTTGACTGGGAGTTAGGAACCTGGTTAGGCAATAGACGCCAAGCAGAGAGTTTACAGCACGGGGTGACCAGGTGCTGACATCCAGGTGCAAACAGAGCGCCCTGAGAGCACAGGGGTGCACCTGGCTGCCGTCTCCCCGGGGAGTCAAGAAAAACCTTCAGAGTCAGGTTGGCATTTAATTGGGCATTTTAACTGTCAGGAAGAGTCAGGGTCTGTCCAAAAGCTGAAAGAACATTCTAGTCAGAGGTTTGTGGGAAAGGCTGGCTATGGTGTGGGAAGAGGGGGAAGAGGAAATGGAGTGTAGTGTCCCCAGGGAGGACTTGAGGAGTGGCCTGTGTCAGGCTGCCTTGAAGATCGAGCTGAGGAGTCGTGTGTTCCTATTGTAACATATGAAGGCCCCGGTGGGGCGGAGGGGACCCCCGCCTTTACCCTAGGGAGACTAAAGCAAGCTCTCCACCCTCAAGGAGCTCTCAGACTGGCCGGGAAGCCAAGTCAACCTACATCAAACAAGAAGAGGTCAAACACCCACAGCCATCATTCTTTTCCTTGGATTCTTAACGCCCTCCCAGTGTGTCTCCCATTATTGCACTTCCAGGCCATTTGTCACACTTGCAGGCCATCATCTTGTTGATCCGTTGCTTAGAACCATTCATGGCTCCCCACTGTACTTGCAGCGTTCCGAGTCCGCACCACGTCCCACGGCCTCATGCCCGACCTCTCTCCCTTCACTCATCCCACTCTGTCACAGTGGCCCCCTGGCTGGTCCTGGTTGGGCCAAGCCCTCGTGGGCACCAGGGCTCTGTGCTGACTGTGGTCCCGGTCACTGCTGCCACTTTCCTCCCAGCTCTTTCTGAGGCTGCCTTCTTCACTTTTAGTTCTAGCGTAACTCCCAGCTTCTCAGAAAGACCTTCCCTACCTCAGATATCTCTGCTGCTAAAACCTGTCACAATGCCCAAATTATTCCATTTAAAGCGTTAAGGACAATCTGTAGCCTTTTAACTTCTTTACTTGATTCATGTCTACCTTTCCCACTGGATATAAACCACAATGGTGAGCAGTTTGGCTGTCTTGTTCTTCATGAAATCCTCGGCAACTACTATAGTGCCCAGCATATAGGAGGTACTCAAAAAAATGTGTGTGGGTAAATGGCTATAAGTAGATGCCAAAGGGCATGTCATCAACTCTCTGTCACACAAGGGGAGCTGAGTGGGGGTGACGGGTCTGAGGAGGGGAGAGCAAGCCTTATTTGAAGGGTGGCAGCCTCTCATGATCTTGTAATAGGCGCAGCAGCTCCTTAGGGAGAAGGAGCAGCCCTGCCTGTGAAACTGAGGCTCTGGGTGAGATACCCAGCTCTCCTGTTCCCCGGGCCCGCTCGGGTGCGCACACTGCAGGGCTTGGACTTACGCACTCCACAGAAGGCTGCTTTGGATGCAAGCTCATTGCCCCTTTCCCAAATCTTACTTCTAAGCCACAGGCTTGAAAAGCTTGCTTGCATCATCCGCTTTACCAACCCAACAAGAAAGGAAACCTGTTTCCTAGGAGTTTACATCTTTTTTCCAAAGACAGCAAAATAAGAGAAAATAAACCATTCTTGAATAATTTGATTTGCTTTATTATTTTTAAAGAGCCATTGATGTTTCTGAAACTGGGGTGCATTTTGGAACTCTCCTGCCTGAGACCCAGGCCGGGAAGCACCACATGGTTAGAAAATGACCAGCAATGCCTTCATTTGCTCCAAGCACTGGCCAGGGAGACACAGAAGAAGCCTGTGGTGCTGGCATGTGCTTTTATTGAGTGAGAGGTAAAGTTCCGAAAGTCCCCAGAGGCAATTCTTTCAGGGATAGCATGTTAGCCGATCCAGCCCGCCCTCCCCGCCCACCCACCCCGGCCCCTTGTGCTTGTGTATGCTCAGTGATGGAGCAAGAGCCTCCCACCCCGGCCGGGTCAGAGCAGGGCATCACCTTCCTGACCCCCTCGGAGAGTGTTTGTAGTGCTTTGCCGTCTTCTCTTCTGGACACACTTGTGATAACAGGATGAAGGCCCGCTCTACTCTGGAGCTTCCTTGGTTTCAAGGGGCTTCCCCCGTTAGAGTATTCAAATAGGATGCAACCCCCCCACCTTCAACTTCCTTATCCTGTTTCCCTCTGCCCTTCCTCCTCCTCCCCAGTCAAGTGATTGTCTACAATGCAGGCATGGAACAGACTGACAGATCTCAGAGGGGAACGGGGTGGGGGGTACTGGAAGAAATTAGCCGAAGAACTTGTATGCGTATATGCATGTATGCATGTCCCATGGACACAGACAACGATGTGGCGAAGCAGGGAGGGGATGGGGGACATCTGTTACAGTGTCAACAGTGAAGAATTAATGAACTAATAAAACATAAAATAGAATCTGTCAGTAAAGGGTTTGCTGTCTGGAGTGGTGAGACTCTCTGTTTCGGAATGTTGTTCTGGCTTAAGGCTCCCTGTGTCTTTGGCCCGGAGAACACCAGTGGAGAAGGGAGCAGAGCAGCTGGGTCAGAGACAGCGGTGCCCTCCAGGCCAGGGAATGGGAACCGTTTCCAAGTTGTCTGGGCAGCCTGGCTCCTCAGCTGCTCCTCCCGGTGGGTCCCAGACCAGTGTGGACTCAGATGTGTGTGATCCCCCCCAACCATCCCCACCCCCCAGCCCCAGCATCAGCCACAGTCCTGCAGGAGGCAACAAATGTCCAGAGCCCTCATGAGACAGGCCAGGATGTCCTTCCCAGGTGGCATCATCACCGTGTCTGGGTCA